GGGCGTGAAGGTGAGGAGCGAGCCGTGCGCGTCCGGCGGCTCCGGGAGCCAGAGCCAGAGCCAGAGCCAGAGCCAGAGCCAGAGCCAGAGCCAGAGCCAGACTCCGACACACACTGTTTACCTGCAGGACCAGCCGGGATGGACGCTGCCTACAAGAAAGTCAATGGAAACTGCGGTCCCCAGGAGGGCACGGAGGGGCAGGAGGGCAGCGGGGTAAACACCGTCTAAAGTTTTATGAGTGCTTTTTTTTTACCACAGACTGATTTGACTTTTTAAAAATTTCCACTTTTGGTTTATGTTTTCTGTCGCAAGCAGTGACGCAAAGAGAGGAAGAGGAAACGGAATAATTATTATTGTTATAATGTAAGAGGATTTATGATCTAGTCTTTTATAGATTTTCGTTTTATAAAAAATGCCTTCTCGTTGTCAGCTGATCCATCTGTCAAAATGTTTATATTTAAATCTAACGTGATGAAATCACATGATTTCCTTGTTTCTAACTTCTGAGTCTGAGTTCAAATGTTTAGTTGACAATTTAAGTCGTGAGCGATTTATTGGTCGTGAATACCGTAATCCTTCGCTCGTTCAGATTCTTTGAAGACATTCCATGAACGCGTAGAGTTGTAAGTCAAGGCCAAATTTGATCTGACAGTTAAGTTAACATTACGTTTTACATGTTGACAGCTGTGTATTTTTTTATTTTTTTTTTGCTACTCTTATATAGCTAAATGTGTTCTTTTTACTGTTGGACCAAAGGAAATGTTTTTCTACTGCTCTGAATTAAACCAGAGTCTTATTCCATCTCCTTAGCTCGTTTTAGTAACCAGTCTTCTATTATATTAACTGACCGGTTCATATAATTCAAATCACAGGCTTGGTTAGGAAAACAAAAAAAAAGAACAGTAGCTCTGGTACGCAGATTAATCCAATTTCATTTTTCAAATGTTCAGTTGAATCACTGTGTAAAAGTAAACCGCAGCGGTGAGGCCAATGGTGGACTATAAGAAACGGTCGAAGGAAATACAAAAATGACGTAAGGTAGTCGAGGAAGATACACTGTTGTACCACAGTTCACTGTTCTGATTATATATGGTAAATATATATGGTAAATATATATGGACAGATAGATAAGCACTACTGCCTCTGTGAGTAACTAATGAAAATCTCAATATTTGTGTGTGTGTGTGTGCCTCTGTGTGTGTGGTCTGCTGCTCTTTGAAGCCTTAGTGTAAAAATCAGTTTGTTTGTGTGTCTGTGTGTGTGTGTGTGTGTAGCAAGGGGTCAGCAGCTAAAGTCCAGCGGGCACTTCCTGGGAGGGTCATATCAGAACACCTGTAACACAGACCGTGACATTGTTTATCTATATTCCCAGTCACTCTTCACGGACTGATCATCAAAACATCATTATAGGGAATCAAAATTGGAGGTTTTCTAAAGTCTCACATTTCTGACCTTTCCCCACAAAGAACCTGTCTCTAAATCCATGTCCATGATCCCTGGTCTTCTACGATAACAATGAAATGGATCAGTCCAGAAAAGTCTAAACTTTATAAAGATCACTGACTCTCTCACTGTAACTGAAACAAATCTCAGTTTTGACAACTTGAACCAAATGTATCCTTCGTGTAACAAAACGATCCCACAGTGACACAAACTTCGACTGATCTTACGTTTTTCCTTTATGGCTTGAAACCCCCTCCACCATCAACGTGTTCTTTGATCCCAGTACAGTATTTGTCGGTACTTGATAGTAAAACTACTCTTCTTTCTGAACAGAGGCGGCGAGGCTCCATGTACTTGGAGGAGGACACCAACAAGTCGGAGGTGATCTCCTGCATCTTCTCCCTAAAAGAAGAGGTCGGGGCTTTGGTCAAAGCCCTCAGGCTCTTTGAGGTAAGGCAAATAAAGGGTTATTCCTCTCCTTTTTGAGGCTCATGAGGGGAAACAAGGCTGTTTCTTGCTGTTCAGAGACGGCTCCGATGGGACACTGGTGGTTAAAGGCAGAATTGCTAATGCTATCGCTGGGCTTATTTCAGACTGCAGTAAAAGTAATTTATCGCAGCTGTGGTTAAGTCAAATCAAACCTCAGAAAGTGCTCCTGAGCGCCCCCACCTTTGGTCCTCTGGGGTCCATATGACCCCACCTTGTTATGATCGTTATATAAGTTAAATACGGTAGTAAAAATGGTTAATTAATGGTAACCCATTAGCACCAAAAACTTTAAGATATACAGCAAAACTACATTGTAATAACAATAATTATTATTATTAATATTATTATTATTATTGCACTTTCAGGTGTCCTGAATTATTTCATTTAATTGTGTCATTATTACTGTAGTTAGTAGTTAGCTCTACTTGTCCTTGGTCCTGATTTGTGGATTGTTTTTTCTTCTTCTTGGTATTAAACAGTTGTTGTTTAGATAACTGTAAAAACCACAAATCATTTATTTTATTATTCTTGATATAAACAGAAGAAATGAAGCGACTGCTATTTTTATGTCAGACTTGTTTGTACGGCGGATCTGTCGAGAGGTAATGTAAAACCAAACTGAACTTATCTCTGATGTTTGCCCTTCGGTTGTTTGCTCTCTAATTAAACAAATCAGCTCTACCCACCTTCGACTACCGTGTAATTCACCGTTGCACCTCAACCACAGGTCAGCTTCTATTTACTGACCAGTGAGTTTGAATGTAAATCTCGAAAACAAGTACTTGTTTAAAACCATCATTTCAAATCCAAAATGTCGAGACCTGAAGACTGTTGTCTATGGCCTTTAGATAAAGTATTGATCTCCAAAGTAATTCTTAGTGAAGTCAAGCCGTGCCAGGCAAATGATGTTTGACTTTCTGGTGTAGTGACCCCTGAAGATGGCAGCAGACAAAAAAAGGGTTGGACCTAAACTGCCTGTGCACTTGACGGCAGGAACGACAACCAGGTTATACTGTTTGTCCGAAGTTTCTGGGAACATGTAAAAACCCAAAAGATAAATATCACTTAACAATATGTAAAAAAAATTTAAAAAACTACAACAGAAAACTTTTTTCCGATCCCTTTGGCGAACTTAAAAGAGCTTAAACATTCCTGTTATCTCAGGTCAAAGTGAACTAGGTCATGTGTTTATGCATCCCGAGTCGATGACATAAATGAACCGTTACCGTATCTGATCATTACAATGAGTGCTTTTGGTTGAAAGAATCTAGCTGCGGTTCTTACTTCCTATGGTTCCAGGTCTGTGTCTATCTATAGTCTCTATGGTAATTTACTATTTTCTTCCATGTGTTGGATGAATGGCCTGGATTTGGTTAAAAGTCATTTTTATGTTTAATCCTATAAATACTATATATTAAAACAGTATAAATGAATAACATTATTGAATGAACATACAAAAAAACACTACTGAAAATAAATTAAAACAACAAATATAATGGGCCAGATGTAGGAGGTTTGGGGGCGACTGCTGGCCCCCAAACCAGGAGTTTGACATCCGATTTGTTCCCAGTCCTCCTTCTGTCTTTCATATCAATCTGGATCAGTTATTTTTAAGCCCTTTTTAAATTACTTTGACCTATTTATTTCTCAGCCAGCTGACGTCATGTATGGCTACAGGATACTATGATGTGTACATTCTGTACTTCTCTGTTGTTGTTGGCATTTGTTCAGCATAATCAATAGGTCTGTTTCTGATGTGCTGAAGCAAAACCACTGGCCCTATGCAGAGTTAAAGTTTAATATTAAATTACTAACATCAGTTTTTTTTATAACTTATAGCAGTGGTTTCCAGTTTCACTTTTTTTTTTCTATCTGGCATAATGTGAATTTATTTATTTGAATTTTATTTAGAGAAAAAATAAACCAGAGCTGGGCTTTAGGCAGCAAAGAAAATACCAGGTAAAAAAACATATTTTTTGTTAGCACGTGGCAGGAAAAGTTTTCTTTTTTTTAACAAGCAATACTCAAAACTGTTATTGGTTAAACAAAAAAATTCACATGCTGCTCCAGCAAACGTACATGTCCTCTTTGAACCTATGAGCTCCTGCTTCTCCAGTCCTTCCCCTGCTCCACCCCTCGTTCTCCTCCACCCCCTCAAATTCAAGTTTTTTTTCCCCTAATTTTTAAGTCATGCTCATTTTTGAGTTCTCCTCCACCCCCTCTGCTTCACATTCAAGTTTTTTTTTTCCTAATTTTTAAGTCATGCTCATTTTTGTACCGTCCTCCCCTGAACAGCCCTCCACTTTAGACAACACAACACTACGTGACGGCCTTTATGAAGCCTGACTGTTCCGTTGTGTTTGGCAGTGGTCGCTGTAATCGTTGCAGCCTCATTGTCTCAGCGGTGTTACAGGACGACAATGCACACAAACACACAAACTAAGCAGGTAAAGCTCTTTGTCATGATCAGCCTGAGGTTCAGGGACATGTGACAAAGCAGTGAGGCGTTCATGTGACGAGTAGGAGCCGTGAGCCGACCCTGACCCTCCGCTCTGGTACACACACGATGGTTAATGTCATCGGCACTAAAGTTCGGAGACGTCACTGAGGGGTAGGAGTGACTCCTACATCCTCTCAGGCTAAAGTTTATGCTTGGATACATTTTATAAACCAGCTCACTATCCAAGTATTATTGGTCTTGTAATTGGCCCAAAAAAAAAGTCAATAGACATTATTTGTAAACTCCTGGGAAACATGATGTGAGACGACCCAAAAAAAAATCTCTTGCGACCCACCTGAGGGTCGCGACCCAGTCTCTGGCAAACAATGTACTGGACTACAGAAACCATCTAATCCTGCGAAAGGTTTTTTCCACCTTTACTGATTTTATTGTGTAAAAAAAAAACTAATGGTGTTGCAACATTAAGATCTCAACACTGCCATCTACTGTTTTATTTTTTCTTTTACTGGGCCCTGGACAGACTCCTTTACTAATGGATTATTTTTTAATTAGACTTGCACTTAATTTGATGTGATAAAATGGCCTAAAGCATTAAGGTGACCAAATGAATCACTGGTAACAGAAGAAACAAATATTTCAAATGACAACAAACCAAAGAAAAACAGCGAGAAAACCAAAAGACGACTTATGTCTTATGATTTATGTGGCTGGATCAGAAAGTTGACTTTAAACTCAACTATTTTATAAATTTTAGTGATTCGATGGACAAACCGCTGTTTTAAAGTCACTTTGTTTGTTTTTTTGGTTTTTTTGCAAACATTGACCTTTTTACTTTATCTCTCAGCAAATCAAAGGACCACGTGACAAAAACAAACATAAATATTGAAAACCTGCCGTCAGTGAGTAAAACAACATTGCATCATAAAAAAAGAGAGTTGTTGTTCTGAGAAGAACCAACCTTGACTTTTGGTCGTGTTGGTATCGCAGCCTGAGACGTGAGCCCATATGGGCAGTTGAATGAGATCCAGATGGGTGTGAAGAGGGAGGCGTGGCCTGGGCCCACCTCTTCACCGAGCCTATGGCAGACGGAGAACATCATCCTCCCACTTCCTCCACAAAACACTGTGTAAATAAAAACACATTTTTAGGAAAATTGCCACTAAAGTCGGAGCCTCTGTGGAATGTTAGCCAAAAGCAAGAATACTTCCACACGCGAACAGGATTTTATTAAGTCCAAGGGCTTTTGTCCTGCCAAAGATCGAGGCCTTGATTTATTCTTTTCACCATTTGTGGTTGAAACTAAAACTTGTTCTGAATACTTTCACTGTGGATGGCCTGGGGGTCAGACTATAGGCCAGTTTGTAGTGGGTCAAAGGTCAGAGCAGTTTTACTCAAGGTCAACCTGAGAACTTGACACTCCTACCACCCTCTAGTGGTCGGATAAAGATGATACAGCATCCTACGACAACCCACTGACCCTCTGTCTGTTTGTCTGAGTTAAGAATTATGGGTAATCACCTCAAACATGGTACAGTTTTTACAGTGATAAAACACTGATGGAATCTTGAAACTGCAACTAAGGCCAAACAGCAACTTACCGACAACGGAACAACTGCAGGACATTTTTATGTGATAGGAAATGATGTTGGGACAGGATTAAGGAATAAATCCAACTAACAGAGACTTTGTGAGGAATTAATCTTGAAAAATCACATGTGAATCATACTTTAATGTCTCACAAAATATAAAAAATGACCAGGACTGCTGTAGCTAACGTTAGCTCTGTTTTCTATTGAGGTGATACTGTAGACTTGGGGTACTGCAGTTGCCACTCAATGCATCCAATCATCTGTATCCCACTGACATACAAACCACCGGTGAAATACTGCCCCCTACTGGGTTGCAGTGTGTACACCAGAGTAACAAGGTGCCAAAAATGATACAATCAAGAAATGTGAAATCAAATGCATAATGATTTAAATTATAATAACAACTTGTTGATGTCGCAGCCTTTTTAACAGTAACAACAATTACCAAAGTCTTCCGCTCCTCTTGTTTGTGTAGGAGAAGGGAATCAACCTGACCCACATCGAGTCCCGTCCGTCCAGGATGAACACGGAGGAGTACGAGTTCTTCATCAGCGTGGACTCCAACTGCTCCCAGGCCCTGGATGATGTCATCGACGGCCTGCGCACGCAAATCAGTGGTCACGTGCACGAGCTGACGCGCACCAAAGAGAAGGACACAGGTGAGAAAAGGTGTCTGTGGACTGGATGTACAATCACAGCAGTCAACGAGACACTTGTCCTACCAGCAAAATGGTCACAATTATCCATGGTTAAATATCCTGCTGCTACAGAGAACTGATCCACATTTGTCTCTGGTTTTGGACACAGTTTGACCAAAAACATCGTCCAGATCCAATTTTCCAGACATGCAGGATGTTTTGTCCAAAGTTCACGTCAGCACACGCTGTTAAAATCACCCATTTATCTCCACCAGCGTGGAGGTTCATGAATCTTCAGCCAGACCTGATAACTGACAGCAACTGACGCCTCGGAGCCTGACAGTCCATCGCCCCCCACTGGACTCTTTTATTAGTCATCTCCACAATCACATTAGTTTAGCTGCTGAGGACTGACAGGCTGGACAGGAACAGAGAAGCACTGTGTCTCCCTGACCACAGAGCACTGAGATGGACAGGCCCACCGTGATCCTCCTTTCACGCTGAAGTCCAACGGTCTGGGTCAAGTGGACCAGAAGGGACATTAATGGCCTGTTCTGCAGACAGTGGAGCCAAGCAGGGGTCGACTGTCACCACGGGGCCCCAGGCCGGACCACACCAACTAAATGTAGATTAATGAAGGGGCCCCTGTGTTATTTTTAAGGGTCATAAATCCATATAAACGTGTGGATGCCCCCTAGTGTCAAATGCCAAAAAGCAGTGAAGGACAGTGAAGGACAGTGAAGGACAGTGAAGGACGGTGCGGCCGTTAGAGTCGGTCTGTGAGTGACAGCGCATTAGCCAGAATTTATTGGTTATTATTGGTGTCAGAAAAGTATTTGTGAGCAAGATTTTCCTGGATTATTACATTTTGTAGAATTGAAAATAACATTTTTTTGGACATCATTTAATATTATACCCAGGCATGTTAATTAAATATTATTGTACAAAACACAAAGGAAGTCCAACTCTTTCCAACACGTAATTGATGAATATTTGTCGATCCTGTGGTTAACTTTAATTTATGGCTATGATTTGTCTTCATTCGTTGGCCAATTATGAACAATTTTGGGACTAATTTGAAGTACTTTTTGTTTGCATTTTCTCAATTTTTTTGCCAACTTCCTGCTACTTTACAACTAACTCTGTTGGCTAACTAACGTAAGCTTTATTTGACTGTTGTTGGAGCACAAAAAGTTTATTTGTAGCTATATAATAATGATTCACTCTGTACTGAGCAAAGGTGTGAATGTGAGTGTGAATGTTTTTGTCTCTTTTTATGTCTCAGATTCGTGTTCATTAAAAGAAGAACTTTAGAAAGTATTCATTGTTATGTTTCAGTGCCCTGGTTTCCCAATGACATCCAGGATTTGGATCGTTTCGCCAACCAGATCCTCAGCTACGGCTCTGAGCTGGATGCAGATCACCCGGTGAGTAGCGACCCACCTGACGGCCCACTCCGTGTCTCTGCAGCGCGGGTCTGTCTGTGGAAGTGGATACACGGACGCTCTCGCCCACAGGTCTTTTAAAAAGACACAGGCTGTGGTGGAGATGACAGGCCGCACTCTGCCGTCTATTCTAATGGAAACACACACACACACACACACACAAACTGATGTCACCGCCTTAATTGAGGCCCTATAATTACAGATAATTGCTCTCTCTTACCGCTGTTATTAAAGCCAAGCTTGTATTCTGCGGAGAGCTGAAAAAGCAGCCTCTACAAAGACTTGATTTGAATATGAATTTGGGATTCTTTCATCAGAGACGGAGAGCATAATGCTGTCAAAGGCCACGGGGTTTTTACCTCAGCGGAGGATTTCAGCTCTTTGAAATGGCTCCGAGTGGGCTGGGAGATCTAACGTGGTTTCTCCTCTTTTGTGTGTGTGTGTGTGTGTGTGTGTGTGTACACGTGTCTGTGCTCGTGTGTGCACAGGGCTTCACAGATCCCATATACAGAGCCCGCAGGAAGGAGTTTGCTGACATTGCCTACAACTACAGACAGTAAGCCTTCCCCTTGATCTAACTCTGTTCTCTACTGTCAGACTGAGTAGAGAACAGAGAACTTCACAGGTCAGGAGGAAGTATTTGACTATGGACCGGATTCAGTGATGTTTTCAGACTTAGCTTAGCAAAAATAGCTTTCCCTAAACAAACAAAACAAAAAAAACTACCAGCATCCATATTAGCATATATATACATATATATATAAATATATATATATACAGTATATATACATATATATATATATATATACATATATATATATATGTATATATATAGCTTGTATCTTAAAGCCCCACTTTATATATATGTATATACTGTATGTAAATATACAACTAATACATAGATATATATAGATACACACAAACATATACTATAGTACTATAGATACATACATATAAATGAATATCTACAGGCACACATATATACATATATTTTGCAAAATCTTATTTTTTACGTGTCAGCACACTGACTTTAGATCTCTTTTTAGTCAATAACAAAAAGAAGACAGTGATGTTAGGGTGTGTTGATATTGGTTAGTTAACTAAACTCTTTAGATACAGAAAAAATTAAAAGAAAAATCACCTTTTCCCTATTTATCTTTTTTTCAATAGTTATGTAAGTCATGTTTTAGACACCGAGCGATTCTGCTCAACAGATAATTCAACAGTCTAGACTCTAACCTCCTGTCTCCCTGTCAGTGGTCAACCCATTCCTAGAGTAGAGTACACCGAAGATGAGAAAGCCACATGGGGAACAGTGTTCGACGGGCTGAAGACGATGTACCCAACTCACGCCTGCCGCGAACACAACCGTGTCTTCCCCCTGCTGGAGAAATACTGCGGCTACAGACAGGACAACATCCCACAGCTTGAGGACGTGTCCCGCTTCTTGCAGTGTGAGTTTTAGCTACATCTATTTATCGTTCTCATGATGTTGTCTTCAGTGCCAATGTTAGCTATAACAGCCCTGGTACAGACACCAGAGCTAACAGTAGCTACAACAGTCCTGGTACAGAGACCAGAGCTAACATTAGCTACAACAGCCCTGGTACAGACACCAGAGCTAACAGTAGCTACAACAGTCCTGGTACGGCCACCAGAGCTAACGTTAGCTACAACAGTCCCGGTACAGACACCAGAGCTAACTTTAGCTACAACAGCCCGGATACAGACCCCAGAGCTAACGTTAGCTACAGCAGTCCTGGTAGAAAAACCAGAGCTAACGTTAGCTACAACAGACCTGGTCCAGACACCAGAGCTAACATTACCTACAACAGTCCTGGTACAGACAGCAGAGCTAACATTAGCTACAACTGTCCTGGTACAGACACCAGAGCTAACGTTAGCTACAACAGACCTGGTCCAGACACCAGAGCTAACAGTAGCTACAACAGTCCTGGTACGGCCACCAGAGCTAACGTTAGCTACAACAGTCCTGGTTCAGACACCAGAGCTAACATTACCTACAACAGTCCTGGTACAGAGACCAGAGCTAACATTAGCTACAACTGTCCTGGTACAGACACCAGAGCTAACTTTAGCTACAACAGTCCTGGTACAGACACCAGAGCTAACAGTAGCTACACCAAAGCCTCTCACTCACCTTCTTCTTCTGCTCTGGCTAACTGCAGCATGCACCGGTTTCCGTCTTCGCCCTGTTGCCGGCCTCCTCTCGTCCCGGGACTTTCTGGCCGGACTGGCCTTCCGTGTTTTCCATTCCACGCAGTACATACGTCACAGCTCCAAACCCAGATACACACCTGAGCCGTAAGTACAACTGAATCTAAACTGCACCTGTGGAAGAAATGTTAGGAGTCGGAAAATAACTGCGATCATTAAACTGTGACTCAGTGACATTTGCCATGAGCTGCTGGGACATGTCCCTCTGTTTGCCGACCCTGGATTTGCTCAGTTCTCACAGGTAACATTCACTCTGTATTACCTTGAACCATAACTTTACCTGGAAAATCCTTGAATCAGTTAATCCCAGAATTTGTCTGATGGATTTCCATTGGTTCTGATCTTCACAGGAAATTGGACTGGCCTCCCTCGGTGCCCCTGATGAGTACATAGAAAAACTTGCCACCGTAAGTACTGTAATACAAAGAAATGACAGTGATGATTAGTGCTGGGAAACAAAATTATATTTCATTAATTATGAATATTTCCTAATATACTTCATTTTCTTGGCAGTATTAATGAGTTATTGTAAAGTCTGGCACATTCCAGGATACTTCCATGCATCTTCTCTGCAGGTCTACTGGTTCACTGTGGAGTTTGGCCTCTGTAAACAGGGCTCGGACATCAAAGCCTACGGAGCTGGGCTGCTGTCATCGTTTGGGGAGCTGCAGGTACCATATCCAGTCCATAAAGAAGTGGGCTGTAGACTACATTTCTGTCTGACTGACTGGTTTGTGCTGTTACAACAGCAGACAGTGGGTCTGTGGTCCAGAATCAGGTTTAATGTGTCACTGGGTGAGTGGGTCTGTGGTCCCAGCGTGGGGCCGGTAAAATGAATCAATGGGATTAATGGATCAAACATCCAGGTCAGGAGTTACAAGATTGGTGGAAGTGCAGTCTGTCGAGTCCAGGCCTCAGAGAATCAGACTGCACTTCCTGTTCACTGTCAGGACAAAACATTGGGAATTGGAAGATAAATGTTGATAAATGCCAAAAACTTTAAATTTAGACCAAAAATATCTAAACTTTGTTTTTAAATTAACCAAAAAAGAAGTTAAAAAATGAACAAAAATGCTATTGAGTTAAAATACAAAGCAAACATCTTAAAATGCATTGGACGACGGTGGATTTGTCAACACCACTTCAGATAATTACATTTTTTACTATATATTAATTTCTATATTCTGTCGTACTTTTTACTTGACTGTATTTCTAATCTGTTTCTTTCAGTACTGCCTGACAGATAAACCCAAACTGTTGCCTTTTGACCCGGACAAGACCAGCGTCCAGAAATACCCGATCACAGAGTACCAGCCTATTTACTTTGTGGCCGAGAGCTTCGAGGACGCCAAAGAGAAAGTCAGGTGAGGGCCAGATTACGTCACATTGGCACTCTTTGATTTATAATCGCTGTCGTCAACACTGTCGTTGTCTTTGTTCGCACAGGAAGTTTGCCAGCACCATTCCCCGACCTTTCACCGTCCGATACAACCCTTACACCCAGAGCATAGAGGTTCTGGACAGCACCCAGCAGCTGAGGAACCTGGCTGACAGCATTAGCGGTAAGCACCGTGCTAACTCATGTGAGCTGTGCTAGCGTTCGTGACATTAGCATATTGGCTAAATGTGATTTTGTTTCAGGTGAGATGGGGAAACTCTGTGAAGCCCTGAGGAAACTGGCCTGAAACTGGGATTTAACGTGAAGATTTATTTCCATGATTTTTATTTTTATTTTAGTTTTTATAGTCGATCATTTATCTTGCAGACTGCTGACCTCCTAGTATTATCATTGTATTAATACAAATGTGCATTTAAACCCGTAGAGTAGTGAATGAATTGTGTGTATTAAAGCTGGAGGAATAGTCAGTATTACAGTACCACTATGTATATTTTAACAAATGAAATAGAAGTATAAGAATCGTCCTGATTCCACAACCACTACATCCGTCTGAATGTTTGTGTATGTGACAAACTCTGTCATATGGATTGTATTTCCTAGTGAGGTTTTTCCCTCGTCCCAGCGAGTGACGACCTAGGACAGATGGAGGTGAAATCTATTTGGATTCCATAGCTTTGATGTTTGTAATATGCATGAAATATTTCATTAAAATAAAAATTTTAAAAAGCATTTGAATTTTTGAATTTCTGCC